AGGCTGGATAGCTTTATTGCTAGGTTGTATTATAATCTTGTCTTTTTATGTGTAACGCGTTGAAGGAGATGCCTGATAATATAAAGTATATATCATTTTGATCAGCATCGTTAGGCGAGTCATTATAGCCATACCATTCCCTCAATTTGAAAACTATCTTGATGGAAATTGGCGTGTATCTGTCTTATGCTATGTCGGAGTTGGTAGGACCGAATCACTATATCAAATAGCAGCCATAGAATCGATTGCCTTTAGCAATAAAGTCATACTTTTCAGCATTTTTGTTTGAATATCTCAAACTTTTAAGAGTTGAGTCAAGATATCTCGTCTGCTGTTGCTGTTGCTTCTGTTCTTCTTACAGTCTCAGTGTAAACTAGGAATTAAGAATTTTGATTTTATTCATCTCGGTTTATGACTGCCAGCGACTTTAATTGCCCGTGCCAGTGCTGTTGCTGCTAATTCTAATTCTAATTCTGTCTGTGACTTTCACTGCTTCTAATTTTATTAGTGCTGGTGTTATTGTTATTGCTGCTGCTGCCACAGCTATTTGTAGAATTTTGTTGCTCTTTGGAGTGTTGTCTGGAACTCGACTAAATCATATTAACCACAATTGCTGACTGTTATCGCTACTCGTTTTTCTTCTATGCTCCGCACTCTGGCAGACACTCGTGCGTAAAGTAATTTATATATTGCCACGCCCACTTAAACTCCCCTTCGCACACAAACAAATACCAACACACACACACACACAACACTCACACACACAACACACGGCATATAAATAAGACATTTGAACGCCGCACATTTGTTAGACTCACTTTTATTTTTTTCCTCTTTTGGGGGGCCTGTTTGTTTATTTCTTTTCTTTTTTTGTGAAATGTCGAATCTGAAATGCGTGCCACAAATTTAGTCCCGTTTCAGTTTAAAGCCACATATCAAACCAGGACAGAAGTGAAAATAAATTTTATGCCTTTGACGCTGCTGCTTTGTCATTTTGCGCGTACGCCACGCCCCCAAAAAAAATACACAAACGAGATACGCCCACAAATGTTACACATTCATCTGCAAGTCCTGCTTGACTTATACACAGAACAACAAACACATGGAAAAAAAATGACATAAAGCGACATAATAATTTCGTCTTTGAAATTGCCTTACAATTGCCATCTTTTTTTTTTGTCATGTGGCACACTGGGATTCGATTGCCTCATCCTGCCCTCTGGTGTGCCTTTCCCCCTTGGCAGGTCGCGCTTATTTTTAGCTTTGCCGCATGTCAAACAATCTCTTCTTTTTATGTGAGCTGCGACTTTGTGATACACTTCATACTGAGGATAAATCCGATTTCAAAGCCAGATGACTTTGAAAGAGTTATGTGGGTAAAAGTTTGGATTTATTCAGTGTTACTTTGTTAATGCTAAGTGAGCGATATATTGAGATATACATATAAGACAAGCAGTCGAATATTTAAGTAGTAAAGTCTATTGATATATCCACTCAAGATTGGAAATTTGTTAATGTAAAAATGTTACTTTTGAACTAATTACAAGTTCTAAGTTTATCATGATGCGATTTTCTAAATCTGCAGCTTTTGTGTCTTTTATTTTTGATAATTAGTGCATCACTGCTTCGACTTGCCTCAGTCTATATCCATTTTTTATTACTGTCACGCAGTTTTATCAACAGGACATTCTCTCCCAGGCGCACAGACACCTCTCACATGTTTGTTTGCCAAGTTATGCATACAAAATGTTGTCCGGAAAATGTGTGAAAATGAAAATTGACTTGCCAGAAGTAGCTAAAGGAAAATAAAGCAATACACAACAGAACACTCAGCGCTCAAAGTCACCCTACGTAGTTGACTCAGCTGACAGCTGGCTAAAGTTATTAAATACATTTGCTTAATTTGAAATCTAGTTTTCAGATACACATCAAATTTTCTTCTGTGCCTGAAGTCAAAGCGAAATTCGTTATTCATTTGGTCTGAAGAGTTGTTTTTTTTTGTCGAAGCGTAGCTGCCACATGTCGCATGCGATTAACATTAATAGTGAGAAACGAGTGTACTTAAACTAACGAGTGCATTGGCTAAGAGTTTTGGACCTAAGGTTATCCTGTAATCTTAGTACTAACATACAAATGTACTGAGACCAAAGTTGTAACTCATTTTAGGGACATTTACATGCATTTAACAAGCAAAAAACCTTCAAGACTGTCTACATACATTTGAACTCACCATAAAATCCTTTTTGATTGCAAGACGCCCTATATTTAGCTCCAATATATATGTGTATTTATCATAACTTATAACATAACACCAGGATACCCTTTGTAAGCATTTACAGGGCATAAAGAGTAAATAGATTGAAACTAGTGTCGCTTCTCTGACTAGTTAATGGCGTTCATTTGCACCCAACAACACACGCAACTCGAACTCCAAGAAAAACACACACACAATCGCACAATCGCACAGTCGCGGCTTTCTTAAAGTTTCCGTTTCCGTTTCCCTTTACCCTTCTTTAGCTTGTGGCCCCCTTGGGGATTGGCCAGCGCCCAATTAATCTTAATTAAAGTCATGTATGTGCACAGCTAGACTCAAGAATCGCATATGCGTTGCGTGCGGGGCGTGATTGCGAGTGGGACGGTGATAGGAGGTGACTAGAGGTGTTAGGGGGTGTTAGCAGCTGTTGCCGCTGTTGTTGTTGTTGTTGCTGCTGCTGCTTCCATTTCATTTAATTGTAATACATTTGTCTGCTGCTTAATGGCAAATTTACGTGCATCGTATAAATCAACTTTTGGCTCTACACGATTTATATTTAGCATAGTTCACAACACGCATTGATAACAACAAAAAATACGATTTTATTATTGGAGGCCCGCTAATTACGCAACAATCAGCTAAACGAAAAGGGGGAGGCAGAGGCAGGAGGTGGGTGGGTGGTGCAGGTTGGAGGTAAAACAGCAACAACAGCAATAAGCTTGCTTGCTGACCACGCATGGATATAAAATACGCTGATTACATACCCAACCAAATACACATCCGCACACACCCTCACTCTTTCACACACACACACACATTGACACACACGCACACAAATACAGTCAGCTTACAAATGGCTGCCATTGTTGATTTTGTCGCTCAATTGTTTTCCTGTTGCTGCTGCTGTTGTTGCAACAGTTGCTGCTGCTTTTTACAATACTGCTTTTGCAACAGTTGCAGCTGCCGTCCTTGCTATTGTTGCTGTTCATGCTTTTGTGCCATTTAAAGGCAATCAACAGATTATTAATGCCAATTACTGTCAACGTTTAACTAGCTAGCATATTGCGCAACTCTTTCATTTATTGCATTGAATTTTCCGCGAATTGAAATCGATTTTATTTGTAGTATTATTGATTTATTTTTGCTCTGTAGAAAACCGAAAACTTTTAGCTAGAAGTTTGTTTGCATTCAATTCTGATAAAATATCAGTTTTTGTGCCAATTTGTTTTCTTTAAGTTTAACATTTTTCAAATATTTGTTGTGAAAAATTCAGTTCAGTCACGTTTCAGGAGAGCGTTGAATTTGAGGACAATTAATTAACTCATTTAAAATGGTTGTTCTTCCCACAATAATGAGAACAACAACAGCAAGTGTGATTAGCGTATTGATTAGTTAAGCGTTGCGTCGCAGCGCATCGCAGCTGCCAGGCATAAATTTATTGACAAGCTTTGTGGCCACAATTTAATGGCAAGGTGTCTCTCGTTTGTGCCAATAATTCATGCAGCTCGATTAGGGGCATTACGAAGCGATCCGCAGAATGCTTCATTGAGCCCAGCTGATTAAACGCTAATTTACGCACAGACAGACAGAGATAGATGTTTCTCCTTCACTTTCACTTTTCCTTTGCCATTTGCCATTCTCCTCTCCAGCTTGTCAATCAAAACGAAAATTAATTAACGGCAATGCCGAAAAAAAACCAAAACGATAACAAAAATCAATATAAGAAATCAACAAATTGCATCAGTCAGGTTTTTCCTTGCCTCCGTCTCTATTTTTTTTTGTGCTTTTGTGCAAATTGGTTGCACAAACAGCAAACGGGCGATGAGTCAACATAAACACTGCGCCGAACAACCCAACAACTCAATCACACTCAACTAGTCTTGAAACTGCTGATGGGGCAGACTCTTCAGAAAGTAACAAATTAATTTAAATATGCGCCAATAAAGAAATGGTGCAGACTCTTTTAAAAACATCGTTTAACTGTGCGCTCAAAAGTGAGCTACAAAACTGCTGAAGTGAATGCCAGCAGCAGCTTGATAGTTCATTTTTTGTGCGTGGGTTGTCAAAATGGTTTTAGGCCTGAATTTTTTTAGAATTTAATATGATACCCATATCATAATAAATATGTATCGTTTTGTGTGAGTGACAACAACAAAATTCGCCTGAAAGAATGTAGATAATACAAAAATAAATGCGTTTTATTATGCTCCTGTCATTAAATCAAAATATTATGAACACAGGATTGCAATATGATATATATATTTATAGTGAAACTGAGAATGAGACTGAAAACTTCGGCACATTAATATAAATCTTAACAAAAAGTCAACTTAGCTAAGTCAACTGCTTTAAATATATGCAAATTAAAGACCAAGCATGTTACATGACTTTTCGTTTGTTCTTCATTTAACTTACAAATTGAAGAAATAAATTGAAGGCTCCATAAAGTGTGCTACACATTTCTACAAATTTCTAAAAGGAGTCTAGCAACCCGGCGTGCTCTTGTGTGTTTGTCTCTATGTGTGTGTGTGTGCTTAATTGGGTGTAATCTTGAGCCCAGGTGAATCATATTAAGCATTTACATATAGACAGCTATATGTATATATATATATTAATTTGCGCAATGTCGTACAATCTGTTCGGCATCGATTTAAGCCTCAGCTAAATTGCAATTAAGACCAAAAATAGCAAACAGCAAACAAATCTTAAGCGCTTGCCCAAAAAAAACCTACTCTTCTGCTTACAGAGCTCGCAAACGGTGTCTGGCCTGGTCTGGATTGCTTGTTGGGGGCACAATTAAAGCAGCAGCAGGAGGAGAGCAACAGCAAGGATATTTTATAATTAGAAGACATAACGAATTTGGAAGGCAAATCCAAGAGCTTTGGTTAAGAGAGCCCGCCAAGTTTCCAACTGATTAATTTTACAATACACAAAACGAGAAGGGGGAAAGGGGCCAACGACAAACAATTTAAGCCAATTAAGCAACGACGTCGTCGAGTGATAACAGCAGCAACAACAACAACATCAACCAGCTTATAGCAAATGAGACGCGATGAGTTTCCTCAGTTCCATGCAACAATATGTAACAAGTGGCATATCAAGTTTGGGCCTCGGCAATCGACGCTTCTCGTTGTCGCGTCAGGAGTCCACTGAGCACCAACAGCAGCAGCAGCAACAGGCTGGCGGCGGCGGCGGCGGCGGTGTGATAGCTGCAGCTGGCATCACAATACAACAACAATTGCTGCCACAACAACAACAGCAGCAGCAACTGTTGCAACAACAACAGCAGCAGCAGCTGCAACAACAACAACAACATTCGCACGCACCGTTGCAACAACAGGCGAGCATTGGCAGCGGTCTCGGCATCGTTTATGGAGCCCCCGCCCAGCCCACGGCGGGCGTGGCAGCCACTGTCGCTGGCAGTAATTATCCCGCCGGTGGCGTCGTTATCGGCAATCCGAATGCCACCAATCCATTACTAGGTGAGTTTCTTTGACACTCTCTGCCTATTTATATAAACATACGAAAACACAACTCAACACATACACACACACACACACACACACACACACACAGAAACATACACATTAGAGTGATAAATTTGCTTGCCCGCAGGCCAGTTGTGTGTGGGCGTTGCCAAAGTGTGTCTAGATTAATGAAAATCCACGACAAACTAAGGACACGTATTATTTTTGATGAATGTTGGGCAGAAATAATGTTATTAGCAATGCCTGCTAGCAAAGAAAAAGAGTAATTAATTTTTATATAGAACAGGAAACAGATATCTATTTGGAATCGTGTGCAGTCCATTTATATTACAGTTATATACAGCCATGTTCTGTACGCCATTAATTTTATTAATAATATATATACCAGACTATCAAATCAAAATTAATTTAGTTTACGATTCCAAATCTGGTATAAAAGTTGCTGTAAGCGTTATGAATTGATATTGATATGTCAATTGATAAAGTAGTGGTTCTGTTTCTGATTTTACAAACGGATTCTGATGCATTCCTCTTGAAACCATAAACTCATTTAAAGTTAATACGAAAGTTCATTATTAGTAATCTAATCACTGCTTAGCAGAGCCCAAAATTTCACATCTTTTACATCACCAACAAAAGTAGAAATGCAAAATTTGGCAAGCTATCCTTGGCGCCCAAGGGGTAACTTGATTTTCTAAAATTCAGGACGATTTAATTTTCTGAGAGTATGAACAAAAAGGCTTTTAATCCATCTACACTTATGCATATCATATTATTTCACATACATACATATATATTTATAACTAATACCTTGAACATTTGCTTTGTTATGGAAACAATAATAATTTGATATATGAAATCTATTTTGGTATTAATTCAACACACAATGCCAATATTTGGAATGCAAATTCAAATGCAAACAAAACCCAATAAATAAGTAAATAAAAAAAATGATTCGAACAGAAATACGGCTTACAGGCGAGAGCTCTTTGGCTTTTATTTATGCAATATTAATACACATACGCCATGTGGCGCAGATTTAAATTCAAAATGAAAACTATTTCTGTGCAGCTGCACAAAAGCCATAAATAAACATTGAATTGTAAAAGCAAAACAGACCAGAAACAAGAGCATTTCGTAATGGATAGTTTTTGGCAACTGGCAAGCCACAAAAATGTTAACAGCCGACAAAAGTTGATTGAATTTGCCTTCCTTTCGGAATGTTTTTTTGGGAACCGGAAAAGCAAAAATGTTGCGTAAACTTTTTAGGATTCTGGCAAAGGCAAACACATCCACAACAGCCACCAGAACATGTGCGCCATGACGTCAGTTCAATCAACATGCAACATGAGATTCTCTGTCTGTTGTCTAAGCCTTGTTGCGGCTCTGATGTTTCTGTTACTTTTACGTTGCCAGCAACTGCAACTGCAACAAGCACACATTTCAAAGTCAAGACAGCAACAAGCAAACTGCCACAAAAACCGCTGCTGCTGTTGCAGCAGCTGTGTCCTGTCGCCTATTCGTGCGGGATTTGGTCGGCATTTGCTTAGCTTTTGATTTACAAACGTCTGCAGCATTTGAATCAAATTGGAATTGGCTTATCTTGCTGCAAGCGCCACAAACGAGCGGTTTCTAGCCACATGACAACGTCGACGACGACGACAACGTTGAGAAACAGGCTACGACAAAACTTTAGCTATAAACCCGCTAACACGTAAGCGCATTTGCTGTCCACATGTGTGTGTGTGCCAACTTTCGACTTTACGCTTTATACACGCTTAGCAATTGAACTATTTCGACAGTGTGCAGTATTGTCCCGATTATATAAATTGATGGAGTGCTATATGTATTTGCTGCCTTAATGTCCCAGAGCTAAAATTCACCCTATATTCAAAATCTAGGGATTGTAAATAAGGGTTCGACCCTTAGAGTTTAAAAACACGACTCTAACTCCAAGTTCATATATAAATTAACCCTTCCACAGCCATAACTTTGTCAGAGGGGACTCGCAAATAGTGCTGAAGGGTTGGGTTAAAACTTCCCGGAGCTATAACTTTGGCGAAAGTTACATGATTACTACATTCAAAGTTGGAAACATAATTCTGGCTCGATTTTCATGTTAAATTCTACCTCCTCCCAAAAAGTGAATCCATGGAGGACTGAAACTTCTCGGCTTTTGTACATGGCTTTGCCAAAATAATACTACATTCATAGTTGAAAATGCGATGCTGTCTTCAAATTCATATAAAATTGCGACATCAAAAAATCGGATTAGGAAACCATTTACCGAACTCAATCGATTTAACATTTTTATTTTTATTTTTTTGTCATGTTTTGGCTTCTAAATTGGCTGCCAAAATTGTTTTCAAGCATAGCTTGCTAGATTTCAGTTTGGTAGGTTGTAGGTTTTCTTTGTCCTAACGACCACTGTACATATTTTAGTTTTCATCGTTATTTCTTCGGTTAGGGCTTTTGCATAAGCACTCAGGCAGGCAGTCTGAAGCCGAAAAGCATTCGTGACGAAGCCACAGCAATAGTTGGCCAAATGGAGTGACAGCAGTTCAGTAGTAGCACAGCAACAACATAAGCAACCATGTCCACATTCACATCACTCCGCATGCAATGTGGCAGGCAGAGTAGTTTAGCCCTTGTCCTTGTGGCGAACAGGAATAGCAACAGCAACATCAACAGCAGCCGCACAGATGCATGTCAAGGTTGTGGTTGTGCTTTGCACTTGGAGCAACGCTACGCCACATCCTGCATTCTGACACACCCAAAAACCCAATCTTCCTCAGCCCTCTTACACAAAAGGGCGACATGAGAACAACTCACGCCACATTGACCGCATCAGCATTGACTTGAGTTGGCTTCAACGACTGACTATCTGACTGTCAGCCAGTCAGTCTGCCTTGTTTCCTTCTTCCGTTTGACTTCCTGTATCTCTCTCTCGGCTCCATATTGCTGTTGGTGCTTAATCCATTAACTTTCGCTTGGCTACTAAGTAGTCTTCATTGTATCCAGAAGTAACGACCATACCAAGTCTAGTTTTCTAAAGTACAAAACATATAAAAAGAAAAAAAAACAACATTTATATGAATGTGGACAAAAATGTTGCCGAAAACAACATGAAAATGTCATTTGTCTTGTGGCTTGAATGCTTTGAGTGTTATTTATCGCAAGTTCGCATCTCAATGTTAAAGCTCAAAAACTCATGGTCAACGACAATTTAATTAAGATTTATTAATTGTGCACATTTGTTGTGAGTTCTATCGATTGAAAGTTGTTTACACTATCTGCTTCTTAAATTAAATGGTATTCTATTTTTTTTCTTTTTGATTAGTTAAAGACAGAAAATAATTGAGTTGATTGATTTATTTGTGTTCATTATATTATAATAAATACACATTTTTCTTTATTTATTTTTATTAAGTGGGTTGAGTAAATAGAAAAAAATAAACATCTCACCGAATGTGGCAAAACCAAATACAGAAATCAATATGAAAATGTGAGTTATATTTTATTTTTTTAGTAATGATTGCTTTTAAATGCTTTGCTTGGTTTTGATTATGATGATTGTTTGTTTAATTTAGTTGTGGCAACTTTCAATCAATAAAACAACATATTTACATTCATTTTATTAAACATTCTCTTTATTCAAAGGTGAGTTACCATAATATACAATCGATAGTTATTTATCGATGGCCATTTCGTTTTTCATTTCTTGGATAATTTAAGGGCAAACTGCATTTACGTACTGATAAATACCCCATTCATTGTTCGCACAGGCTATCCGAAGGTGGTGCCACTGCCGGGCAGCAGCGGAGCAGGTGGTGCAGCTGGTGTTGGCAATTGTTCATCCGCCGGGAGCACACCCATGAATTCGCGTCGACAGTCGCGTGCCCTGGAGTGTTTGGCGCCACCACGTACGGGTTCGTTTCGCAGCCGGAATTCGCCACTGCATCAGCCGGATCCGCCGCCGCGACCCCCGCTGGCATTCTGTAAACGTCGACTCAGTTGGCCGGAGGTGGATCCGCGCTCCACATCGGGGTAAGTAAACGCATGAAAGGACCCTTAATGCATAGTTGATGATGATGATGATGATGATGTGCGGGAAAAGCCACAAATGAATTTCTGGCATATGTTTACCCATTATAATTAACTATAGGTCTTCCCTATATCATGTCAGCTCCACACGAACGAACACCCACTCATACTATGCGTATTTAAAACAGTAATGCATAAATTAAATCCAGCACAAGCCTAATGAGCGTCTTAGTTGGTATTTCTTGCTCATAAATAATAAGAAGGGGCCTTAAAGTTACCAAAGCACACTCCCAAATCCCTTCCTATCCCAATTGGAGGCACTGGTACAGAAATAATCTGAATTATTTACCAATTAATTAATGTACTTCAATTGCTGCTGCTGTAGTGGGTGTTTTGCTTTACGTTTGTCGACCTACATAATTATGTAATTACAAAGTTTTGCTCAATTTTTTTTGTTTAAAGCCCGCACTCCGCTTGTAATTTCTAGAAGAAACTTTGGCCCCTAAGTCCATGCAACATTGGCAGTTTTGAATGCGGGCTCAACCTTTTCAAGCTGCTCAAAAACTTTTTGGCCAACTTGCGCAAGCACACAAAAACATACACTGAGATAAAGGCATGACTTCAATGTTGGTCTTGTGTGTGGGGGGATGATAGTAAGGACATTTGGCAAGGTTGCAACATTGTGCAGCAGCAGCAGCAGCAGCAAGCAGCCTTGCCTGCTTCAAAGACACCGAAGCGCGTCTGCTTTGCATAATGCGGCTTCAGCTTAACCTGAAAATGTGCTCATAATGAGACTTTCGGTCTTGAGGTAACATTTAATTAACCATGAAATGAGATTTTACTAGGTGTTGCTTTAAGACACATGCAAGTGCCGCAAGTGGAGCAAAGTTCCCAGCTCCCAGCTAGCTGTATGCTCTGGCGAAGGGCAGAAAACTTAATTCTGTTTTCGAAATGAATCTGATTAAAAGCATATTAACAAGTTGACGCCTTGAAAATTCAGCGAAAGAAGACACTCGGAAATTGAGAACATGTAATGAAGAAATTGGATTTAAAGCAACGTGTCAAACTGGGACAGAAACCGCAACTTCAACTCTTCTTTTTCATATACAACTTAGTTCAGAATGGAGTTTTTATATTTCTATAAACTATTATTTGTTAGTTCTAATTTATAACCCCATTTTCTATCACACACAAAACATGCCACATTTAATCCACAAGCTTGAATATTCATGTCAGCAAATAGCATTTACTGATTGTGTTCTCATGTTAATATTCATTAATTATCTGTAATAAGCCCATTATAATTAAGCACGTACAAATTTCATTGTCAAAAAGTTGCAATTAGCGCGCATTAATTGAAAACCGAAAGAAAAAAAAGCAAATTCATGATGAAAGGTAAATAAACGTAAAATACGCAGCTTAATTAAATGAAGTGAAAAGTAAACAACATTTTCAATGACAAAACATTCCATTAAATAGCAATTTATTTACCACAATCCTGTCACAGGATATTTAAAAGGAAGCAGTAAAAAAAAAAAAAAAATGAAATGAATAATTGCGAAACTAAGACGAAGTTCAGCAGCTGTTTACCTATACTGCAGCGAAAATTTCGCAACAAGATAAATACCAAATAAATATATATTATAACAGCGATACAAAGCTTGGAAGAAGGATCAACTTTTTTGGATATCGCAACCAAAACAAAACAAAGAGGGACAAAATAAAGAAAGTTGAGTAAAAAGAATACGCCAAGAACTTTAAACTGAAATTGAGTTCAGCGCGCTGACAAAATCACAAAGCAAACGGAAACAACTGCACAGTAAAGTTTAAGATTAAATTCTTCACAAAAAATATATATAACATGAAACGTATAAAAAAGAAACTTGCAAACAATGCACTGTAAGTTAGATCCAGAGAGACTCTCTATATTTCCCTTACTCCCCGCACCCGTTTCCCTCCTACTTCTCTGGCAAGTCCCGCATGCGGGAGAAATTGCGCCGCGCAAAAAACAAAATTCGACAAAAAGTGTTCGCTAAAATTCTGCCTCTTTTTTTATTGGGCCCGTCTAAAATGAATTTGGTGCAGCACAGTTTATCATTCCTTTTGTATACCCTGTGTTTTAGAGAAATGAATGAAAGGGCGTGAGCAAATTATGCAAATGATGTATGTAAAAGGCAAAAGGGAATATATTCCAATATGATTAGTATATGCAAATGAATTGTGTACATGCATATATGTGGACTAAAAGACTATAGATTATCTCCTAGTCGAGCTTTTGTGTTTAAAGAACGGTGACATAAACGTTAAAAAATCTGGCAAGGCTGGCGACAAAGTTAAGCCGCTTACGCGCTTAGCCGCTGCCCATTTTATGCTGAGTGCGAAAAGTTTTGTAGCTCAATTTAAAGCGACCAATGTAGGGTATATGAATGTGTGTGTGTGTGTGTTTACCATGCAAATCAAATGATTAGGTACAACACCATCATCATCATCATCAACATCATTATGCTGAACCCTTGAGCGAGTTAAAAATCTCTGTTAACGGGCGCATGGGGCGTATGATTAATATTAAAACTAGCTATAAAATATATGCATAGATATTTGCCTATATATATATATATGTATGTATGTTGCTGTCTATAAATGTGTATGTGGATTTGTATACAATTAGCGACGCAAGACAAGCAACAAGCTGCAAGCTGCTGGCTGCTGGTTGCTGGTTGCTGGCTGTTGTCTGACCCACATCAAATGTTGAAATAGGTCTGACAAGCGAGTTCTGGTGCTGCGATATGCAAATGGAATACTTAATACTTATGTAGAGAGCATATTGACAGTGCCAATTAGAGTTTCATTCGCTGTCCAGTCCCAAAATTGTTTGATATAATGAAGTGCACTCAGACATACACTGATCCACCACTTCTATTCCTTTCTCTATCGTGCACAGTGTCCAGGAAACGGATGGGTCGTATTTTGAGAACTTTACATCGTTGGGTTGGAAACGTGAAAATCGTCGCATGTCGGCGACGCGTGCGGCCGAATCACGTGCCGAGGCTAATCCTGAAAATGAACGTGATCCGCCAGCGCCCGAGGAGTCCATTGACCGTCACGATGAGAAGGAAAAACTTTACGTTGAGGTCCTGCATACCATTGCCAATACGGTGGGTGCACCAGCGCCCGGCGGACAGGTAAGTCAACTAACCAAAACTACTACACTGAGCGAAAGCGATGGAAAACATTTTGAAAGAGTTCATACAGCTACCAATGCCATTATCTAATTCTGTCAGTGTAAGTTCGCTTATTTGCTCTCTGCATACATAAATCAATATTAAACAGTGGCTTGGGTGTACTTGAAATCATATGAATTTTTGATTGAGCAAAGGGATGTAGAGAGAAAACTTATGCAAATAGTTTGAAATTATACAAAATGTGTGTTTGGCTTGAAATTAACGAGCGGTTAGTTTTTGGCTTAGATGATATATGATTGAAAGTGGTGGGAGGGGGCTCGCTAGTTAATCACATACGTTTAGACCCCTCAAAATGAATGTGAAATTTAAATGATTGATGCTGGGGAGACAGCCAAAGTGAGCGGGTCAAACAGATTAAGCCTCAGCATTGGGGTTGGGGTTGTGGTTGAGGTTGAGTTGAGCTGCACACAGGATATACACAGGATATACAATGTTCGTTCGCAACCTTTATGGTTGCTGGGCACAAAATTCAATTATAAGAGTGTTTTCAAAGTTCAACAGAGTTTTCATTTCGATTGCCATTTGTAAGTAATTTTCCAATATTTTCACAAGTTGTGCCAAGCATGAACAATACGACATTGCTGTCCTTCCTGGTCCTGCAGCTTCTCTTCTAGCAACATTTTTCAATTATCGTTTTTAATTTAACAGTAAGAAAATTGCACAACTAATGAAACTTGAGCTGACTGTACATACATAAATATATATATATATATAAGTATATATATATATATATAATATATCTGTGGAGTGAGTATGGGGATGAAAACTTAGTTGGCAGCTAGGGCCATTGGGCTTATGGGCAGCGTAATAAAACTTTCTGCAGCGGCTGGAAAATAACCTTATTCCTGCTGTGATTGAGTTGAGAGAAGCTGGTCAAGTCTCGCGGGGCCTTTCGATAGAAAGTCGAGTCACTAAAGTTATTTATTCCGGTTCCCGAACAGCTCAGCAGGCGACCCAGTGGAATTTTCTGCGCTCTTACTCTGTATTTTGCATTTAATGGAAAATAATTACAAATAACTACGTAGCAGCTGCAAGTGGGTTAATGTTTTTAATGGTAACTAATGGATAAATAAATGTAAGGGTGCGCCACAAAACAAAAAAAGAAGAGGAATCGAATGACGTAATAATACAGAACGTGAGCATACACTGAAATAAAAGGTTCTACTCAGTCGAACAACAGTTCTCAGAATCAAAAATCCAACATACAAGTAGAAAGCAATTTGTGGACTTAGCGAACTTTTAATCTTTGTTTATGTTTAGTTTTAAATGACAAAAGACTTCCCAGAAATTCCTGGAGTAGAGCTACTGCAAAAGCTTCTCAGTGTTTTGCTTTATTTCGGGATACAACAGAATTTAGTTACTTTGGAAACTAAAATAGAGTAACTCCAAATCGACTATTCTCCACTCAACAGATCTGGTCTTTTTTAACAAATGAAGCTTTGATATTTGCAATCGTCGACAAAATGATTGGCTTGCCTGGCTGGGGAGGGGGGAGGTGGGGGCATGGCAAAGAATACGCTTAAGATAAGATGCTTAATAACTTAGATGGACGTTGCCTAGGCGATTGCACTCAAAGCAATCAAATTAAAAATAATATTCCAGCGGAGCAGAAAAAATCCAACAAAGAAAACTGAAACAACGAGGGTGGCTACAAGGATATGGGAGAGGGGTGGGAGGGGGTCGATTATGAGAGTGCCACTTGGAGTGTGTGCAAATCAGCAAGTCAGACGGCAGCCGGCTAATAAATTCACCAGATAAATCAATATGCAAAAATATAAAAAAGCCAAGGAATTTTTATTTATTTTCTTTTTCTCTTTTGATATGTGGCAGAGCAAACAAAGAGCAAAGGAAAAAGTTGTCTGGAGGAAGGCAATAAAAAATAAAAATGAAAAAATTGCTGCCTGTGTTTATCCGGCGAAAATATGTTAATTTATATTGCTGTTGTTGTTTTTGTTGTTGTTGTTTCTGTTGATGATTTTTCTTTTTTATTATTTTTACTTACAATCTGTGAGAGCGTTGATGATATAACAACTTTTATTTGTCTGCAAAAATGTATTTACAAACAAATGGCAAAATAATTAAATTAAATGAAATTAAGTGTGCACATGTGTGACTAACAGCTAGCTCTTTCTCTCTCTCTCTCTCTCTTTCACTCACTATCTGTCTCTGTCTGTGTCAGTTTGCGCATTACAAGGATGAAATGTATCTGCATGCACAGCGGGCCTTTGGCGTCAATCCGGATCGTCATTATCGCCTACTGCACGCCTCTGCCGAGGATAAACCAAAGATAATCGTGCTCTCGGCGGTCGTCATCGAGGCGGATGGCCTCGAGGCAAAGGATGCCAATGGTAAGCATACCACTTCCACTTCCAGTGCCAACACCCTACTCCCTATGCATATATCCTCCACTCAACGTAACAATCTGTCAAGTGTTGTGTGTGTTTGTGCAAATATTTTTAGTTTGCAAATTGATTTGCGGCTGCTTCAATAATTGCATTATGATTTTGTGTGCTTTAGTTTAGTGAGTGTGTCTGTGTGTGTGTGTTTGTCTGTGTGTGTGTGTATGTGTATCTGTGTGTTTGTTTGTGGTTGGGCGTATCTAAAAGCGTGTCATCAATAAACTCTGCAACATGTGCGCAACACATATATTCCCAATCTTGACATTTTTATTATTTTTTATAATACTCTCTTCTCTGGCAGTGAAATAGAACATTGCCGTTTTTAAAGGCTTGAATATTTATGAGTCTTTCTGTGCGACAAGCAATGGCCTCGATAAAATCTATATGATATATTTTCTGCTTAAATCGATAAAACCTGTAGATTTTAACCGGCTTTAAGGCTAGACTCGCCAATTTTTAAATTTATAGTTTACTGGTGACCTTGTTTTCTATTTTCAAGTCATTTCAAATTGCAAAGATTCAAATCTTTTACAGAGAGAGTTCAAATATTTCAATGATAGAAGCTTTAACTATTCGGAGGCTTACCTATGAGAGTCGCTCCACCAAACATTCCCAACTAACATTGTAATAAACAAGTTTAGAAGTGTGCCATGGTGACAACTTAAGAGTCACTTGGTTCATAATCAAGCCGGACTCTTTATCAAATATTTTAAATTCTCATTAAACTGCAATCAGAGTATGGCATAGTCGTTTAAGTTCGACTGTCGCTCTCTAGATTGTTTCCGACTGGTGTCCTTGTCACAGTTACAGCTGAAGGAACCTCAAACACAGAATCTTGCCCCGTGCCGTCCTTCTCGTCGTCGAGTCAGAACCACAGCGTCAAGTCATCGACTTTGTTCCGCAGCTCGTTCAATAAATTTGCAATTTAATGCTTCCCATTTTGTTCATTATGCTCCAAGAGCAGCAACGGCAACTACAGCAACAGCAACAGCAATAACAGCAACAACAACATAGCACAGCAGCAGTAGCAGCAGCAGCAGTTGCTGGCGTCGCAGGCAACGCAATTTCGCATTTTAATGTGCTCAAGGATGTGTAAGGAATACGCTGAGTGCTCCTTCTGGCTTCAGGCTTCAGCTACTGTTGTTCCCTCTGCCATCTGCTAAATGTACTGCTGACGGCTAGCGTCTGGCAGTCTGTGGAGCCAGAGGAGCGAGGGGCAAGGCATGAATAGCACAGAGTTAGTTCAGGCTACCAATAGCAACAACAAAAACTACAACAAAAAGCAGTAACAATAACAACTCGTTGCCAATGAGACGTGGCTGATGAGTGACTCGCCTTTGTTTGGCTATCCTCAATTGGCTGCCATATAGCTATAGCTATAGCTATAGCTATAGCAATTGCCCGAGCTGATGCCTGGCATACGATTCTCAGTTTTCATTAGTGGCAATCGCAATCGCAATCGCCATCGTCATCGTCATCGCTACTATATATTTCTGTTCAAGCATGAGCAAAAGAAGAATAAAAGAAACCTCCTTTTTGCAGTTGACTGGCTAATAGGCCAAATAAGAGATGGGAACGCTTTGGCAAAAAAGGAACGCACGGCAGTATTATGCACGTCAGAAACACCATAAATTTATAAAAAAAAAAATGTAGTAATTCGACGCTGATAGTTTTCCGTGTTTTTGCTTATTTGTTAAGCAACAAAGAATTTCATACAAGAACTCATCATTCAACCTATTGTTCTGATGGAAGCTAAATGATGCAGCGAGCCGATCCATCCAAAAAGAAAGGATTTATGCCTAGTTTAATCATGATTGCTTGAAAACTGAGACAATAGCTTAAGAAATATTTAACTGCTGTGATCAGAATGTAGTTCCATCTTCTTCATCTAAAATTCTATTAGATTTCATTGCCTAACCAGTTCTTTGTATCATTTATGTTTTATCTACAATACATCTCGGCTTTTGAAGGTTTGGCATTGTGTTTTACTTTATTTTGCTTCGTGTCACGACACGCGCTCATTTCCGTTGAAAAAGTAAAGCAATGCGCACTTTCCGGAGTCTGAATTAAATGCGAATTGCCCATTGTAGTCATTAAATCGATTATTATCTCGCTTGCTCTGCTCATTTGCCACAAAGGTTGCCACACTCTCAACTTGTGCGCGCGTGTATGTGTCAATCAGAGCCACTTAATAATTGAGCGGCACTTTATGCAAATGAAATGTTAATCATACGCACCGTGTGACCAACAGTGTCTGCCAGCAGCTGCCACGTCTTCGCCTGTCTGTTTGTCTGGCTTGACTCGTTTAGCTACAGGCAGCTGTTATTAATTGCCATTTAATGTCGTGCACATTTCAATAATTTATTAACAATCCTTTTATTCGCCGTTTCTCTCTCATTTGTTGCAGGCTTCTCGGATCCGTATTGCATGCTGGGCATACAGCCGGACGGTGGTCCGCCCGTGTCGCCGCTGCCGCTGCCGCCGACGCCGCGCGCCTTGTCCGCCGATATGAGCGGTGGCTTTGATAACAGTGCCACAGACTCGCCGCCGCATCGCAAGCACAGCTTTCGCTTGAGCTTCAAGCGGCGCGAGGGGGCGGTTCGACGGGAGCAGCGCGACTCGCTGGGCGGCCCGGTGCCGGCCAAGTTAATCAAGGCGACCAGCATTAAGCCGCACACGCTAAGCCCCAAGTGGAATGAGAAATTCAAATTGTAAGTGCATTTCCAATCTATCTAAGGGCCCATTTCACCAAACACCCTTCGCCTGCCATACACTCAGCAAAAAAAAGCTATGCCAAAAGCAGTTTACAATCGTCCTGAATTACCAAGGGTAATCTGACCTTATTAATCAGAGGAATATTTCTAAAGCAAAACTTTTACTTTTATTCATTTCAAATTTAGAACAAATAAGTCCAATTTTCGTGATGGCTTTCTAATTTTTAAAAATGATTTTGCTTATTTCTCTGAGCGTGGGTTTCAGCTTGATAGCCCAAGAGCATTATTTAGCTGAAAGCCAGCTTGTATTATTTATTGGAAATTATATTCAGTTTTCAGTGTGATTTACTAAAAGCATATTTCTTTTGTTTTCTGAGTGTAATTCACTGCCGGGCAATTGGACAATTGTGCGACGTAATTTAAATTCAATCACGTGTCCATTATCTGTCAAATCGATGAGCATGATGACGCTGCTCGATTTCGGATTTACGCTAAATTATTCAATTACACGTCTACACCCCGTCAGCACTCCGCCACCGGCAACATTTTTGCTAAATTTAGTTCAAAGTAACAAACACTTTGGGAATGCGATTTGTAGGTGCCTGGAGACACTTCATTTACGCCTCGCCGCATGACAAATGTTGCGCCCCATTCGCATTTATCATTAAAGAGCGATCTTTGATACACACACACACACCCACACCCACCCACCCACACACACACACAGAAATAGAATAATAACCATTCCTTGGCCTTTGTGGGGTCGTTATTTACGAGCTAAGGATACAAATTTAATTGCGTCATAAAATCGACAATACATTTAACATCAGCAATTGCAATCGTAATCAAATTGATGTTGCAATTGCAGTAAAAATAACCAGTGCCACTTGCTCCTGAATAAATGGGAAAAACATTTATTTTTCTCGACTTAAATCTCTTCCCATTTTACAGTGCGCTTTCTTGCTTTTGTGTTCCTTTTTGATAACTTGGCAACAATCCACAAACAAGTTAGTTGTCAGAATGCAGTATTTAACAATCATCGATTGCTCTCCAAAAGCTGCCTTTGCTTTCAGTTTTTACGAGTAATGCATTGCAATAAAATGAGAATGCGAAATGAAGTTGACAGCATATTAGTCTTGACAGAAACATATTAAAAAGGTGTTGAAAGTGGCAGAGTATATTACTATTTTTGTTCCATAGGTTGTTAACTTATTTTGACTCCCTAGAAACTTGCAATATATATTTAAGCCTACTGCAAGCAGAGAAATCGATAACATTGATAACAAATGCAAATCGATAAGTTCTTCTCCAACAATTTTAATGTTTAAGTCACCAAAAGCGGAGATTATATTGCTGTTTCTTCGTTCTTCAAAGAGAAGGCTCTTTTTTTTTGGCTATTTTATAAGAACTTAAATTGTTTTTGATGAGAGCTGCCCGGCAGACTTGTCTCAGACACAGCTCAGTACCCTCACATATATCTCTTCATTTATAGAGTTAGGTCACAGCTAGTTAAATCCTATGCCATAGCACAGAGCCTGCAGATCTTAAAGGTTTAAGTACAGCATCGTTTCGCCTTAGCCCGCTCATAAAACTCATGCGGTAGCAGTTGCTTTATTTCGACGTGTGTGTGTACGTCAATAAATATAAAAGAAAAATTGAGTATTGTTCATAAATTAAGCAGAGCAGCTGCAAAAGTGCACATTGAGTTGCTCGTTTGGAGCACATAACCCGGTTTTATTTTTATTGGGTCGCAAAACAATCGTTTCGCAAAGAGAAACATAAAGCGTTGCCTACTTATCAGCGCAACGCGTTGGCTAATTACACAAATTAAGGCCACTGGCTAAGTGACTGGTTAGGTCAAGTTAATGAAACCTGAAACGAATAAAATTAACACAAACAAATCGTATATTTAAACCCCTTGCAGCGACATCGATGACATCAACACGGACACCTTTCATTTGGACATTTGGGATCACGATGACGAGAGCTGTGTCATGGACGCCGTTTCACGGCTGAATGAGGTGCGCGGCGTCCGCGGATTGGGTCGCTTCTTCAAGCAAGTCTGCCAATCGGCGCGTCAGGGCTCTCAGGATGATTTCCTGGGCGCCATAAACATACCCATTGCCGAGATACCCTCAACGGGCCTGGATGCCTGGTTCAAGCTGGAGGCGCGCAGTCATCGGAGCACAGTCCAGGGGCGCATACGCCTCAAGCTGTGGCTATCGACACGCGAGGATCGCGGCCTGGTGCCCGACGAGAACAACGAGCAGCAACTGCGCAAGATCGAGCAACTGCAACTGGTGTTCATGCAGCACGAGGTGACCACACACGAACCCTCCTGGACCTGGTGCGGTGATCTGCCCGGCCCCGCGCTCACCATACTCCATCAGCTGGCCGTGCAGGGTGAGCTCACGGATCTGCAGTGCGCCATGGCGAGGTGAGGTGTTGACTTTAAAAACTCATTTAATGTTGATTGGGTTACTCTGATGAGATACGAGGATATTTTATTGGTTTTGAGTAGGTAAAGTGTTAAAATTGTGGTCCTACTTTTTAGACCACGTGAAATTACCAAACTCAAAAGATAGTAGATAGATATCAGAGTATTTCGCAATCCGTCAGGCTTATCTCTCCCAGAAATAACTTTTCTCTCTTTGTGTCCATTCCCTTTACAGATATGTTGCTGCTGCACGACTGAATCGCACGACGCCGCTAGATCCAAAGTTTCTGCATCGTCTGCTCAGCGATGTGGAGAAGCAATGGAATCAGCCCAATCAGGAGGCGCTTACCCGCGATCTGGAACAGTGGCTGGCCGAGGCAATGAATGGTTTTGTGGAGCGTTCGCTGAATCAGATACGGCGGCATCGCGACATATTTCCGGCCCTGAATCCGCCATCGCTAATACGATTGGAGTTTCTGCTGCGTTGCTTGGGGCTGCTTGGGTCGATGCGCGCCTTTCGCGCCGTCTGCCCCTTCAACAAGGGGGTGCGCGGCGAGGTGGTGAATGCGCTGCGCAAGGGTTCCGTAATGTGGGGACAGAATGTGTTGCGCGAATCGCAGTCGCTGGCCAATCCATTATCGAATTTTGTAACAACATTAACCGCCGACATCCAGCTGGGCCAGACCTACTATCATGCCCTCTTCGACAAGTGAGTAAACGAGGCACAGAAATGACATTCTATGCCATCATACGATTTTATTCCTTATTGCCACCTTTTGTCCGGCACTGAATTAAATATGTGTGGCACGTGTCGCATATAAAACACGCTTCATGGACCATCCCCCTCATCCAGTCCACACTCTGCCTCCCTCTTTGTCTCTCTCCCTCTCAAATGAACTGCTCAAACAGTTTAACGAAACAAGGAGCAAACATCCCATTTAAGACAAAACCCCCCATTTTATTTTTTTGGTTTCTGGTTGCATCCCAAAACCAAATTGAATTCCAAACTACATTTTGTGTGTGCGTTTGAAACGGTCGTGGGTCAACTTTTTAGTGGCCACTAATCAGTTGGTTAGCCAACTAGTTGTTTTCAGTACCAATAAAGTTAGTTAATGACTAGTCGAATTTGTTATTTGGCAGTTCGTGTAACTTGAACTAAACACAAATTGATTTAGGTTACTTTGATGTGATAGGAACTGACAGCGTAGACATTAATTTTTATTACACCAAGCATTAGTTTAGTTAATGGTTGACTCTTATTCGATACGTTTATATTCACCAAGGAGCTGCTTTCTTATCTTTAAAAGTAAATGATTAAATGGATATATCTCATTTCTGACTCTCCTCTAACTTGGATAACTATTGCTCTGTTCATTCTCTAATTAAACTTGGATAAATTTTAGTTCTTCCCAGTCAAGGTCATATCTCTCTTTAAAAAAAAGGCCAACTGGGCATCACTGCCTACCAGCTTTGCTGCGAACTTGTTCACACTGAAGTTTTCTGCAGCATTACACAGCAGTGCATAACATAAAAAATAGGGAAACGCAAAAGGGACAACTCATCTAATCACTCGCATATTTGCTAGTTAGCGAGACCATAAAGGGCTCCTAATGAGCACATCAAGTGGCTTACACACATAAGCCTCAAATTAATTGCGCTGTCATAAAAATGCGCTCACGTTGCCCTTCTCCTGCCTCACATCACAGATGGAAAACTGGCATCTTGGCCATTCTGATGGGCCATTTAGTCGAGTGGTCCAGCTTGCGAGTGAGCGAACGAATGGCCACGAAAGTGTTGAGCCGCATTTACAAAACTTGGGTGGAAGGCTATCCCCAAGCTAATTGCAGCCATTACTGCAATTTAAAACGCCAAACGTAACATGAAACTTTATCGATTTTTGGCTTACGCCAACAGCTTCCAGTGCTAAGTTTTTGTGCTGTAATTTTGGCATCCTTTTTTCTATACGTTTTTAAAATGCTGTTTGCTTTCGTCTGTTTCTATGTTAGAATGAAGTACGTTGAATCAAGTATTCTTACTTTTCATTTTTAACAACAACTTAATATATTACATTCTTATAGAGGGTTTTACAATCTTGTCGTGAAGTTTATCACGCATTGGAAGAGATGAGCTGTCTTTGACTCCACAAAGTATATATTCTTGATCAGCGTCATTAGCCGAGCCATTTCCATCTGTCTGTATGTTTCTATGCACACTAGTTAATACTATATCACACAGCTGCCATAGGAACAATCGGTCGAAAGATTTGCTCTTGTTTCGGCTCTGCTCAAATTTTAGATTGAAGAACAATAAGTATTCTTAATGCTCATTTTTATAAACTCATTTTTGGCTCAAGTTGATAGATCTTTATTTTCAGTTTCAGTTTTTCATATAAATTATTTGTTCTTCTGCTGCTGTGCTTTTCTCAATCGATAGTACTATGTATATTTGTGTGGCATCAAACATGTGTTTCGTTTATCTGAAGCTCTGCTAATTGGTATTTGTGTTTGCAGCACGAATGGCATTCAGTACTTCAGCATCATCTACAAGCAGTACGATGCGATGGTTGGCGATGAGGTCTATACGAGAATGGCAGCTGGCCAAGTGCCCGGGGTGCGAATGAATCTCTCACAGTATGCGGTGCTCGAGGGCGATGCGGAGCCGGTGGATGCGAAACCGTTTGAGCTCTTTCTGGCATTGCAGGAATTCTGTCAGCTCAAACGGCATTTATCCGCCCAGCCCCAGCCGCCAGAGAAGCCGTTGGCGTTGAGCAACAGCCATGAGTGGTTTATACCCACCTTTGAGCGCTGGATGATGGTTAGCAAGGCGAAGGCGCTGCAGCGCATCCGGGCTGCCATTCGCATGGATGCCATCTGTGAGGGCGAGCGCATAGTGCGGTACAGTAGCTCCTCGGTGGACACGGCCAGTACGCTGCTGAACATCAAGGAGTTCTGGAAGGTCATCAATTGGCCGGACGAGGATACAGCCATCATGATGGAATCACAACTAATCGATGTTGTCTGCTCGGCAGCAATGCACTATTGCGATCTCATCCACACAACGCTGGCGGACAGTGGCTACTATGAGCAGCAGGGTCCGTTTCGCTGCTCGGACGACATGTGTGTGACGGTCAACAATGTGGAGTATGTGCGTCGCACTCTGGCCGAGTTTCGCTCCGACGAACAGCCGCTCGAGGAGTCGGCCGATAATCTCCTCGAGTCTAGTCTCACCCACATGGAGAATCGGTGCGAACGCATCTTGTCCAAGCTGGCGCCCCTGATGCAAATGTCCCTGCAGAAGGCAGTATTCCATTTGGCCTGGTCACCGGACTCGTTGCCAGCGAATCAGGCGATTGTTCCACTGCTCGAGTATCTCGATTGTCATCTGGCAGCACTGAATAGTGCACTGCTCACCAAGAATTTCAATCGTTCGTTGCGCTTCATCTGGAAGACGGTGCTGGGCGAGATGGCACGTCAAATGGAGACGGGCGATGAGACCGATAAGCCGACCCACTTTCACAAACGACTCTACGAGGCGCTGCAGCTGCTCGTCGACTTCTTTCATGCCGAGGGACAGGGTCTGCTCATCGAGTGTCTGCACACCGAGGATTTCTGGCGCATCGAGCAGCGGCTGCAGTTCCACAAAACGGATACGGATCGTTTGATTGACATGTTCTACATGAATCGCCTGCGCGAACAACTGATGGCAGTTAGTCCGGGACCATACGGCTCATTGGCAGTACGCTCCTACTTCAATCATGACTCGCTGTGCGTTGAGATCCTGCACGCCAGGGATGTGGTGCCCCTGGACCCGAATGGTTTCAGTGATCCATTCGTTGTCATTGAGCTGCTGCCACGTCGCATCTTTCTCCACTGCATGGAGCAGCAAACCAATGTGCATAAGGTGAGTGACCAACTGCACAAATTTGGCAAACTTATAAAATGAAGTGCTTTACTCAACTGCAAAGATGTTGAATACCAATTTCCTTCGTTTTATTTTTATTGCAGCGCACTTTAAATCCCATTTTCGATGAGTGCTTTGAGTTTTCGGTGACGCTGGAGCAGTGTCTGGTTGATGGGGCCATGATCTGCTTTACGGTCATGGATCACGATGTGCTCACGGCCAACGACTTTGGAGGCGAAGCCTATCTGGCACTGGGCAATATACCCGGCGTGGCGGATTACAGCACCAGTGTGGATAACTTTCATGGGCTCAAGCAAATTGAGTTGCCGCTCATGCAGCAAAAGGATAAATGTGAGTAACGAAAATCGCTCTGAAATAATTTCTAAAAATAAGAAACAAAAAGTCGAAAAACAAGAAATACTTGCTCTGAAATGAAGAAAAGAAAAATTCTGGCTTTTAGAAGTATGACCGTTTTTTTTCTGAGTGTACACAGAAGGATGCAATAAATCCAAACGTTTAACAATTTATGTTTGTTATCCCATTGGCAGGCAATCCGATTTTGCAAATATTGGAGCTGCGCATCAATGACAAACAGGCGCAGGATTTTGTGCGCAAGCAGAAGGCACGTTTCATCAATTGATTTTAGAAGGGAGCATTTCATGTGCATGTAAGGAGCATCGTTTGAAAAACGTATCTCAACATTTGACAGCAGGCAATCTAATTGCAAGTTTGGTTCTGAATATGGGGATCCAACATTATAAGAGAAATGTATAAAGTAAGCAAACACGCATCTACTACTAATATTATCGATTTATGTCTGTACACTTATGTATTACGTATTGTATGTAGTTGTGCAACCTCCTCTGTTTTTGTAAATGTTAGCAAATTGAAATTCAAATGGTGCATAAGTAACAAGTTACGGGGCACGAAACTCTTTGGCCCAAATGTTCTAGACTTTACGTTGCTACAAATTAATACACACACACACACACACACACAAATATACACATACATATTTTAGGGACTCCATCGTAGCGTAGAAATTGCTGAAATTGTCACAATTGAGCATAACAAATATTTAGAATTTAAATCACATACACATTTCTGCATTTCTGAAGACTTTTACCAAAAAAGAACACACAAGCACACCACACATGAAAAGTGAAAGTAAACAAACACTTGCAAAAACCTATTTAAAGTTAATTCCTTATTCCGAAAGTGGGGTGTAAATGGAAATATTTTCTATCCAATCCAATGCTGTGGCTCCGATCTATTTTATATTGGCATATTTTTTGGGTCAATTTAAGGTATACAACAAATTGAAATTATATTGCTAAAATATATTTGAAATGTATTTTCTATGTAATGTCAGTGAAAATCCAACAAAAAAACAATCAAAATATGCGTAAATCCGAGCTTCTTTATCAAACTCCCCTACACTAAAAAAATCACACACACACACTTTCTATACACTCACATTATACTATTTACAAGAGGAAGAAAATTCATATAAATGTATACAATGAAATAAATATATATCACGCCCAAAGGACAGTGTAACTAAGTCTAAAAGTATATATTTGTAAACTACTATTTTCTGAGCACAGACTTTGTATAAATTTATTGGACACACTCTTTGCACACAGCACTGTGGGCACAGTGAGTGCCGAAAGGTAGCCTTCAGTCCCTTGCTTTTTATACACTCGACTTAAGGCTTCTGTCAAACTAAAAAAATAAATAAAATATCCTACGAAGTTCGTGTAAGCCACTAAAAAACATTTGTAGCTTTCAAACCAAACTTTGATTTGAAATCTCTATTGTAAATTTTGTACTATATACAATGCTGTCTATACACATATATATATGTATATATATATAAATATATATATCGTGTGTATATATGTAACGGATAATAAAAATTGTTTAAACTGTAACTCTTAACTAAGCTAACTTTTTATACCTTTCGCAAGGCAACAGAGAACAATTTTTAAAATGAGGCGCAAACACAAATAAAAAAAATAATCAAATTAAATGCACAATAAAAAATATCAACAAAATCCAAGTCAAATTATGAAAAACAAAATATATTTAATATTTAGGGTCAAAATTAAAGGCGCAACAATTTCATGAATATTAAATACAAATGAATGAGTATTATATTAATAAACACATATACATATATATATGTATGTGTACTATATATATAGATATATGAACCATATAATTAAAGCAAAAATATGTAGCATGTAAGTGAATTATGTTAGACAACCATTATTTTTTCATATAAGATCACTCTGCACAATCTTTTCGAGTTTCATCTATCAAAAACTCATAAATTATTTGCTTAGTTTCACTTCTCTATTGACTATATATTAGGGTTGACATCGAAGTGTTATTCAAAGCTGCCTAATCCCTAGGTAGTATTAAGTAGAACCAAAAGAAAAAGCATGCGAGAAATATAGAAAGGTTTGATATGTGATACCCTTTTAACTTTATAGCAGGGTGTCAAGCTGAATAGAAAAAAGTTAAAGTTTATAAATTGGTTCCAAATTTTTATTCGTTTCCTGCTTTGTTTTCGGTTTGACACCTTGCTAAAAAGTGTTTATTTGGTTCCGACAGTTATTGTAATATCTTATGAAAGGAATTTTCTGCTGCCTCTTTCGCTCCACTTAGTTTCGGTCAGATTCCGCTCTCCTTCCTTGAAATATCTACAAAACTGATCTCTTCCTGACATAAGTAACAAATAGTTTATACCTAAGTAAATACATATATATTCATATGCATATATAAACAATAAATAGACAATTGTTTGCTGTATTAAAAGTAAAAGTAACCAACTGTGTTGATAATACGAAAATACATATGTGTATCTATATCTATGATAATTTCCAATATCGTATTAAAAAACATACACACACACACTCAAACAAGAGTAAATCAAATCAAATTATGCATATTACATAACGTAACAAGGCACTAGATACAAATTTATTGCAAAAATTCAAAATTAAATCGAAACCAAAGCAAGTCAAGCAAATTAAATACAACAAAACCGAATCAAAATCAAATCAATGCAAAATTGGCCAAACCAAGAGACCAAAAGCATTTACAATAAAAAAAACGAACAGAAAACACGACACATATAAATATATATATTTGGACAGAAAATATATGTAAATCCAAGGCCAAAAGAACTATTTGAAAAAAATCTATAGAGCAAGAGTTGACAAAATATGAATATAAGATTGTTAAGCTGGTTACAAATGCCTACAAAAAGAAACCTACAAAGAGCCCTCCTACAAAAAAGATACTTAGATACTTAAACAAACAACAAACTACAAGCAACAAACTACAAACAACAAATACAAATACAAATACATATGAATGCTATATACAAGCAAAGAAACAAACAACAAACAAATAAACAAACAACCACAAAGGAGACATACTTGTATACAAAACTATTTTCGATTATGTAACGAGTATTAATTCTTGATTTATCTACCGGATTACACAAAGTACAACATAATATACAATAAACACACAGATACACACACAGACACACTTTAAAAATGTGTTGTTTTCTTTATGGTTTTATAAATGTTTTACCTATAAGCCAAAGACAAAAGCAAACGTTTACCGCCGAAACCACTAGCTAACAAAGCGAAAGTTTTCAATATTGTTAGAGAGTGTTAGAGAGACTCTATATACATATATATATATAAATATATATCATTTTTAATTGTGTGCTTTATGTGTATAAGAACTCCTAAGAAGAGCCACGTACAGGTTCCTAAAATCCAATTAAATATGTAATATTGCAGAAATACATAAATATAATAATTAAAAATAAAACAAAAAAAAACAAAAAATTGCGAAGTTCCACAAAATCTTAACTAACGATAAGTGTATGTTTGCAACAGTGCAACAACAACAACAACAACATAATCAAAGCAAAGCAAAACGATCGAAAATTTAGCTAAAATACATTTTAAGTGTATGTGCAAAACCAAAAAAAAAAAAAAGAAGAAAAACAAACACAAAAATAAAACCCTGCTGCAGAAAAACCTTATCAAATTCAATCAATAAATGTCAATGAATATATAAATCGTATTTTATTTACTCTAATCCAAACAATCTCAAATGGATTCAATACAATATTCTTCAACATTTTCCCCGTGACTTATGCGTCTCATTAATAATGGTGGGCACTGTAAGTGTGTGTGTAGCAGGATGACAGTGGCTACTTAAATATCCTTACCTTTTATAAGATATTTATTTTTAAAGTTTTATTTTTAATTTATGAGCCCGATTAAGTCTTGAGAATTTTTTAAGATACGTATCAGAAATAGTATTCAAGTTTTTACTACAATATCTTAAATTAAATTGATATTATTTTTTCAATCAATCTACATTTTGAGTTTGATGATATATGATATAGAGACTGGATATTAATTTGATTTCTGTAATTCTGCAACAATAATCTATAGATTTTCCAATAAGATTTTCGTTTGTAAATTGAAACATTCCTGAACCAAGATTTGTAATTTTGTCTTTCAAATTAAATTTTGGCTCTGTCCTGCAAAGGCGTCGCACATTTCCTGAAAAAATCACCATAGTCTTAAAGCCAATTTGCTGCTAAGAAATTAGCTTGGAGCTGCATCAATTTTAACCCTGTTGCTTTAAGCCACAAACGTGGAGGGCCATCAAAATAAATTGTCGTTGCTGGCAAAGGTTGTTGGCATGTGCTTATGGAATTGATTTCAGTGCATTATCTGGCTGGTGGTGGGTTCTTCTGAGCGTGTAAAGCTTTTATCTAAATTAAATCCAGACCAAGACAAAGTCCGTGTCGAAGTAGATTCACGCCGCTATCGTGCCACATGACGTGCAAATGATTTGCCATTTACCACATCGTCAATGCTTAAAAGTTAATGTGCAGCCGGCTGGGTTCTATCCCTAAAGTTGCAAGTACATACAGTTTGCACGCACTGCCTGCGTGTGTCTGTGCAACACTCAAATCTCTGTAGTTTTATGCAACTTTTATGACAGAGTGGCAACAGCAAAAGATTTTTTTTACGACTTTCAACGCCAAAGGACAAACAGAAAATAGTTATAAGTAACAAGAAAATGATGCCTTCCATACATCAACAAAGAAATGCTCACTAAATTCTGACCTGGCACAAAACAAAAAAAGAAACACACAAAAAAAGTGATACATAGATGCAAATATTTATATACGAAACATGGAAAAGCTTGCCACTTGAGGCATGAGTCAGAAATGTCTGTCAGACTGCCGGAGACTTGGGACTGCCACCTGCATTCGCAGCTACTGATGTGGCACTGACAACTGCCCACACTCACACACAGACGCAGACACAGCTTACGCATGTTGGCCCAGGGCCAATTTCTGACATTCTGGCAGCAAGCAATGCCGCAACAACAGCAACACCAAAACCGAAAATAAAAACTGCAATTTAACTTTCAGCTATGCATATTTTTTCGCTGCATTTAAAGCAGCGGCCGCATTCCAACAGAGAGAAAGAGGCAGTTAGGCAGAGTACGATTCCGCGAAAGTGGTGGCGGAAGAGATTATGAACAAAAAATTGGCTACACAGTGAGAAATTTGGTAAATGACTTGTAGAAAATTGCGAGTCTTGATTAACTGCATTCTTCATTCCAGAAAGAAAAATCAAATTAATATCAACTACTTCATATTAAGAATGTGGTCCTCAATCAGGAAAGGCAATAAACTTGTTAATCCTAGTACAAACTGACTTAATCTAAGTAAATATTTGAATGAGTTAAGATTTTTGCCGCACTGTTCTCTTTTCTAATGAATAATATATTATAGATTTATTATATTTTAAGTGATTTTATTTTGTAACTTTCTCAAAGCAAAATTCAGCTTGATTTGTATTGCTTTGCACTGCTTTGCACTGCTTGGCTCGTTTTGCGCAGTGTAACCGGATATGTAAAGTACGCCATATTATTTCAGGCACTGCCCATTTGCATTCCCCTCGTTACCCCATACCCCACCCCACCACATTCCCTTTCCCCTTACCCTTTATCAGTTATTCGTTGCTGCCCGCAAGCAGTTCGCATAAATTTGAATGCGAAATTTTATTTACATGCCTGCAGCAGCCGCAGCAGAAATGATGATGCCTTCAACTTTTGGCCAGTGTTGCCAATATTTAAACGTGCTTCCCACACATGCAGAGAGAGAAAGAGTGAAAGAGAGGAGGACAGACGCTCTCACTCTCACATGCAGCAGGCGTTCATGTGTTCATTATCGTTGCCATTCACTGGCTCTTTTTTTAATGACTTTGATAGCAGACCAATCGCTTAGTTGCAAATTAGGTGCTTCAGCTCAACCCCCCCCCCCCCCCTTGCTCCTTTCCCTTCTTTCAAAGGGTATCATTATGATGTCATTAAATGTGTAACAGATATACATATACAGTTATATATATGATTGATCAACATTAATAGCAACATCAATTTATGGTAATATCAGTTTGCATCTCTGTTCAACAATCTGGCTAAAAGTGAACTTTATTTTTTTGTATTATAATGAAACTTTAAGCACATTTTAAATGAATCTGGCTAGGGTATATTAACTTTGCCATGCCTCACTTCTGCTGTTCAGTCTAGTGTTACTTGCCACAGCGTTGCAAGTCACGTGCGCCAGTTGTTCGAGTGGTGCGCTGACAACTAGAGCGTCTAATGAAGTGGCCATATTCCGGCTGCCAATGCTCACCCTCTCCCACACCCCACCCACCCTTGTTCGCCTCATCACAATTGTTGCACGTGTTGCAGAACTTTCGGTTTACGGTTATTAAATGCAGTTTGACAACAAAATGCGGCAACAAAAGTGCAAAGTGCAGACCAACGCTCTCTCTCTCTCTCTCTCTCTCTCTTTCTCTAGTTTCCGCTCTCTCTCTCCCTCTTGACGCTCTCTCTCTCGTCTTCTCTCTCGCGCTCTGCTCTCTCTCTCTCTCTCTTTGAACAGCGCTAGAAACCAGTTTGTGTTTTAAGTTTTTGTTTTTAGACCAGTTTAGACCAAAAAACGCAGGTGCCGCTAAAAAGGTTTTGAGCCGATCAGTTCGAGCTGAAATCGCGACGCGTTCGCTTCGCAGCCACGCTTTGAAACACAAAAAAAAACTCGAAATATAAAAAAATATATATATAAAAAAAATTTAGACAGTTGAAGAGCGCGCAAAAAAAGCACATACATATATACATGTATAAATTCAACTATTTTTAGCGCATTACGTGAGTGTCATTCGAAAATTTGATTTTGTGGAGTCAAAAAAAAAAAAAAAAACGAAAAGTGCTCAAATCAAAATTGTGTACAAAACTACACTGGACTACACAGCAAATGCGCTCTGCCCTTTGCCTGACTATTGAAGTATCTATGTGTGTGTGTGTGTGTGTGTGTATGCTTGAGAGTGTAGTCTGTGTGTGTGTGTGTGTGTGTGTGTAGGCGCATAACTCAGCTTGAGCTCAAGCCAAAAACCTGCTGCTATTATTAGCTTTAGCCAAGATTATGGCCGATTTGGCTGAAACGACTTGAGTTGGGTCTCTCTTTGCCCATTGTTGGCAGTAGCCCTGCCCCTGCCCCCTGCCCTCCGCCCCTCCTCTACTCCTGCTCCTCCTGATCAGCCCCCTGCTTGTCTGCTTGTAAATGTTGTGTGAAAATCTGCAACGCCTTTCATTCATGCCAGGCGATTATATCACATATGTGTCTGTGTATGTCTGTCTGTGTGTTGGCTGTCATTTTGGCCAGAGCCAGTAAGCCCAAGATTCCACGCAATGGCAACGACGCCAACGCATTTGCATAAATGACGACGTCATTGATACATTACTAATGCATATTTATCCATACAGCTGAATATATAGAGTATATATATATATATATATATATATATATATCTGTTTTCCGTTCCGTGCAGTGACAGTGCAATGAAATGTGTGCAACAGCAATAACAACATCGACAGCATCAGCAGCAACAACAACAACATCGACGAAATACTAACAACCTGTCGTTGTCGCTGGCAAAGCGTTAACAATAAATAAACGAAACAATAGCAACAACAACAATAACAACAACAATAACAACAACTGCAACAACAACAACAATAACAACGACAACAGTTGACTGTACAACAATGAGCAGAGAAGGTAAGCCAGTTTTTTAGCCCACAGTCAGTCGTGCTTTGGTATATATTAACACACAAATACCACACACAACACACACACACACACACACACACACTACACACACAATTTATGGCAATTTTATTGCCTTTAATTTTATTATTACTTAAGCTTGTAATGAAGTGCAAGTGTCAATGGTCTATAATATGTATCCACAAGATACACGCCTAATGTGCTAAGCTTCATGGCCTAAACGGTTGAAGTGTGCGTTGAATGGCGTCTACTGCTTATGAGATACACGCACAATAAACATTAATAATATTTTTAAAATGCACTCTCAAAGCAAAGGTTGTTTCATTGAGCTAGACAGTTTGTGAATACAAAAATCCATAAACAAAAGTGAGCGCTTTATCAGATACACAATCTGTTAGTTATAGAGTGTAACTGAAGATTTGTGAACAGGATATGTAGATATTTAAGATACATATTCACAACTCAGGTTGTTTTCAATAAGTTAAATAGTATGTAATATGGATAAACAATGTGTTAGATACAATTTAATAGGATATTTCCATCTCTAAGATACATATGCACAGCAGTTGTGGTTTTCATTTTTATAGCAGCTATAAGATACACAATATTTTAGCTACAAATAGTAGCTGCAGCTGTGTGAGCTTGAGAAATCCAACCCATTCACAAACCAAAACCCCGGCTTCAGCTGCAAGTTGTTCTGCTATCTATAAGATACACGCTCTGCAAGCCAAAATGAAGGCCACAACTACTGCTTGTCTATAAAAATCACACACTTGAAAATCATACACTCTATAAGGTAAGGTCATGTTGCTGCTCATTTCCGCAGCACTTGAACTCTGAACTGCACAAAATTTACTGTGTGGGTGCTAAAACAGCACAAAAAAAAACTGATACCGAAACCTAAAAAAATATAAAAAGACTGGCAAACACACAGATGCTCAAACTATATTGCGGGCATTTTGGTTAATGCGGCAGTTGACCGTGAAATGCTGTTGCCGCAGAAAAATACAAATACAAAAAAAAAAAACTTGTTGCCTTTTATGAGCATGATATTCCGATATGTTTCTCTCATTTGTGTTGGCCCATTGCTTATGTCATTTGGCAGCGATTTGTCAGCAACGGTTCGCAGCGGAAATCCAAGCAGCCAACGCTTTTTTTTCGTACAAAAATGAAGTTAAGTGCAGGAAATGTGGTAGCGAATTTGGCCAATTGCACATGTTGCTATAACCATTTTGATAGCACGTCCAAGCCACTTTCGTTAATTGTTAACGCAGATTTCCTCCATCAACTGCATCCAAAATGCCATAGCCAAATAATGTTTGATTGAAATTAATTGGCTAAGCAAAATGTGCACTGCTCTTATTTGAACTCTTGGCCAATCTCTCATATCAAATCACATCCTGTCTTTTTTTTATAACAATCATATTTTCATGCTCAAGCCAAATCCGTCCAGGGAAGTAAAAATGTTCAGTTATGTAAACTAGTCTTTTGAAATGCAGGGAATGTGCTGCGACGCTGTCAGAGATATCAGAAGCAAAATAATGCAACAATATCTTAGCTGATCTATTTATAATCAAACAAGAAACGAAATATCTTTAAACATACCTCGTCTGAAAGACAATAGACGCATTGTGACTCAGTTGTCGTGCTTGTTGTTGATATTGTTAGACAGACAGTTAGAGTTATAGTTATTTAGCGTTTCACTTCCCAGGCCGAGACCCACTGTGCATAACAAAACTGGCTTTTTGGGTTTTTGGTAGACTCAGACAGCAGCACCGCTGGCAATGTTTTGTGATAAAAAGTCAGCGATGCTTGGCGCACGCCAATAAAACTTGGGGAAGCAACAATAACTACACTCAGAAAAATAAAAAAACAATAACTTTTCATAACTTATCAATACCAGAATATAAAATTAACAATATTAAGCACAAATTACTTCTAGTTTTCCTAACAAAAATTAATTTTTGTGGCATTTTTCCAAGTTGCAGAAGCTTCAGCTTCTTCGAGTGTACAAATTGAAAGCCCAATGTTAACGGCCATTAATTTTATTAGCCGATGACAATGATTTGATAATTCATTTGTTAGCCTGTTAGATATATATATATATATATATTTTTGGGTCAACTCAAGGCAGCAACGACAATTAGAATGATTAGCCAATATTTGAAAGAGTATGCCGCAGTTGGGCAATTTTTGATTATTGTCGCATCTTTGCGACAATTCCTGCTGCATCATTTAAAAATGAAAACAGCGAAAGTTATGCAACAATGCGGCATGTATGTAGTTTTTTTTTTTGCTTAGCTGTTTTACCAGCTACTTGAGACGGGTTTGCAACAGATACTGTTGCAAATTGTACAGCGCTGCGAACATCAAAAGACAAAATATGCAAACGAGCCAGCATCCAAATAAATAAAAGACGCAAATCAATCAGTGCTAATCACCTCTTCCAGTTAAACGTGTGTATAAAAAACATGTATATATTTATATATATATATACATAATACATCGTCTTGGGTAATCAAGATAGCTCTGCACTTCGTTGTTAGTTGGTTTTTTTTCCAGAGAAGCCATATAAATACGAGGGATGTCTAGTGAATAAGCATTTGCTAAAAGTCCAATAATCGATTGAACAGCTTTTAATTAAATAACTATTGTCTTTTTTCTATAAGACCACCAATTTAAAAATTGAAAATGACTTCATACTAATTTTGCTATCAACAATAAATTATTAAAAATAAATTAAATTATAATTGCTTTTCAAATAATCGCATACCTTTGCTATTTGTTACATTGATATTAGCATAATGATTGATGTGTAGCACTACTTACTAGTTGACTCTCGTATGTTGAACATGATTGTATAATTATCAGCACCATTTAATACCGATTCGCAGTAACTTTCATTCGACATTTGAGAGCTGGCCATAATTTACACACGTACTGAGAGACTGATGTGTAAAGATGATGATTCCATCACGTAATCAATGTCTCGTGTCATTGCATGCATGATTAAGAAACAACTTACTGCTACTTAACCTGTCGCAAACTAAATGCCAAAGAGTGGGAATGAATTATACCAAATACGAGTATTAAGTAAGATATATACATATATAAACATATTTTTCCTATATAGACAGGCTCTAAATTTGATGCGTGCATGAGGCAATGTTTGTTATTTGTAGGAACACTAAATGCCTTTCCTTTTAATTTGTTTTTATTGTATTAATTTACATCTACATGCAAATTAAATACATTAATGCAAAGCATATTCAAATTAACTGCACGCCATTTCAGCTATTTGTTTATATATAATTCAGTACAAAGGAGTTTTTTTTTTGTTTATTCCCATTGAAGTTTTATTTTTAACAAAGACCGGAATCAAAATACGCAGCATTTGAATTGGAAACCCACTGAAACCACATAAAATACAAAGACGCAAAAACTCAATTAGAGTTACCTAGCAAACAATACAAAAAAATATACATATCCATGTATATATATACATATATATATACATATATACATTTGCATTTGCATGTCTCACAATATGTTGACGACTGGCTCTGGCGATAATTCAATGCCCTCTTGAGAGCCACTTGTCAGCTTCCCCGCCCCATGTTGAAATGTTATGTAATTTGAGGCAGATGAAACACATCTGAAACAGCTGAAAATCTTAATCGAGTGCCTTCAAAAGAGCCAACAACAACTCTTCAAGCCACACTTGACATTAAGGCAAACTTTAAATCTACGCCCACAGATTCACCGCTGAAGAGTTGTCTACGTAACGCAAAAATTCCGCAGTCAAATTATATATTTATACATGTATTTGTGTGTATGTCGTAGTGAAGAGTAAATATTATACAATAACAACAGCAAGAGCGTATACAAATTTATAAAAGGCTACACCCCTGCCATAAATCGCCAAAAAAAAAGACCTTGAAGCCAGTGAAAAAAATATATATAAAAAACTGAAGAAAGAACAACTATTTTGGGCACGATGGAGTTTAAATACCCTTGCAGACCGCACCTATTCACAGCGGAATATCATCAATAAGTTTTAAAGCTGATGCTGATTAAGAAAATTGGAAACTATATTAATGCGATAAATGTTTAGAGCGTGTATGCAGTCAGGGGTATAAACAAGCCATTAATCACGCTCTAATCGAAAATCTTTGGTGTGTAGTTATTAATCTTTATCAATATGTAAATGCATGAACATCTATTTACATAAATAAATACACGTTTGTGAATCCCAAACACATATGCCTTTGTGTGAAACTCGAGCAGTATCAAAGAGTAAATCATAAAACTTTCTCATTTTTCAAGTTGTTATCGAACTGATCGATTTTCTGTTTGAGATATGTACATGAAATGAAAACCGTTTGCAAAAATATTAATTAATCGGCGGCAACTGAGGCGAATTAGAATAGTTGTTGTAACAGCGACTTTAAGCTGGGCAGCATTCCCAACGACCAGCTGCAAATATCGCTGGCAACGAGCGTGGGAAACGCTCGCGAACGCAATTCTAATTGGAATTTGCCAAGACAGCTGGACGGACATTTCGTAGGTCTTGCGGCTTTTGGTGCTGCTGCTGTTGCTGCTGCTGCTGCTGCTGCTGCTGCTGCTGCTGCTGCTTTCTGCCGCATGAGTTTGCATATCTGTGTGCCGAATGCTTGTCGGCATGGCTTACAGCTTATTCTTAACAATTCGAGGATTTTTTGTTTATTTTTTTACTGGTCGCGTCAAGTGCAAAATGCTGGCAAATGTGGCCACTGTTCGTACTTGGCCGAAAACTGTCGGCATTGTCAATCTGCCGTTATTGCCTGTAATTAAAATGTTTTCAGTGCAGCAATAAAGTTTAAGATATGCTAAATGGAAAATGTACATTTGTATAAACATTTGTGATACGTCAATTGCCCGACCTCCTAGAAATGCCTCCCTAAACTTATAATTCCCATAACTTTGTCGCAACTGCATTTAAATTTGATTGT